CAACGGGGCTAAGGCATGCTCGCTGCCTGCCCTGGCCCCGCGCTGCTGCCGGAAGTGGCCAGCATGTCCGGCAGTGGCTCCTAGGGGTGGGGTGGGGCAAGCGGCTCAGCTGCGCGCTGCCCTAGCCTGTGGGTACCACCCCTGAAGCTCCCATTGGCTGCAGTTCCCTGTTCCCAGCCAATGGGAGCTGCGGGGGACGGTGCTTGCAGGCGTTCTAGACCTTTTTAGAAACACTAGACTTTTCTGGTTTTCCCAACTGTAAATGGAGAGCAGCATGCTTGGAGAACAGTGCTCTCATTCATTTCCCAGGCAAAAAGTATTAAATATGGTCTCATCTGAATTCCACTCGTTTCATTCCAAAAGAGCTTCTAGCACAGTTCTTGTTAATTCAGATAATAGATTACTTCAACAATAAGACACAACAGACCCTGTTTTAATGGCCTATTAAAATGTGCCTTATGTGCATTGTGAAGCAAAAGGCCGAGTAACTTCAACCACCCAGGAAGTGTATTAATGGCCAACGTATACCTTGTTGTGTCTTATTGTTATAATAATACAGATCTTTTGCATTTACCAAGAAATGTCTATCATGAAATTTTGAAAATGATTTTGTGTGATTTCATTGAATGCATCTTTATTTTATGAAAAAATAGATTATAGTAAAAGGAATGGGGAATTTAGTTTACTCTTTGTAATGGCTTTTAAAAATTTGTACTTTAAACTTGATGCACTGGAAGTGATCCCATATTATGTTTGTCTATTGGGTTAAGATTTTTTTTTTTAATTCTAAACAAAACAGCCACCATCAATTTGTACCCAGTATTAGTCATTTCCAAATCCAAATGAAAAAGGCAAGATTTTTGACACATTCTCTTAAACAGATCACGGGGAAAGAAGAGCAAGATGTAAAATATGAATATACTGAGCCATATGTTCCCTTCTGCTTCTGCAAGTGAAAGAGAGCGAACAGCTGCAGATCCTGACAAGAGGATGGATGCAGAGCAGGGAATGTCAGCTCTATGGCCTGCTTTCAATGGTGACCCAGAAGCACCTCCTTAACCCTGTCAGCATTAATTTATGCCAATTCCACCGCTGTGACATGACGCCCCCCTCGCTCCTATGAAGAGTTTCCAGGACATCAAAAGGTGAAAGGCACTACAAAAGCTGTGTTGCTACAGAGAATAGAGAGGGTCTCCATCCATGTGAATGGCTTTGCCATTGGTAGATACTGGAGGCTGGCAGATACTGGTGGTCAACATTCATTCTGATAGAAAAAATGTGAATCTCAATTTTTTAACTTTTATTTCAAGCTATGTAAATGAGGTGTCTCAATGCGTGGATGAGACGATGGTGTAGGGAGGAGGTGTTTAGATTAGGAACTGGGGACACTTTTGGGAAAGGGGGCACCTATACAGGAAGGATGGGCTCCACTTAAACCAAAATGGAACCAGATTGTTGGCATTTAAAATTAAAATGGTCGTAGAGCAGTTTTTAAACTAAGGGCTGGGGGAAAGCGACAGGTGCGGAGGAGCACGTAGTTCAGACAGCGACATCTCTTAGGGGAGGATCTATTAATGGAGATTCTCTATGTCCTAGTAAGGAGGAGAGGATGGAAGATGATAAAATACAGGCAGGAGCTGATGAGAAACAGTCAAATGAAGAAAAGTCCCATTCAATACATCATGTAATAGCAGACAGCTAGAAAGTGACAAGTTTTTAAAGTGCTTATATACCAATGCTAGAAGTCTTGCCTCATTTTAAATGAGGATATTGATATAACAGGCATCACAGAAACTTGGTGGAATGAGGATAATCAATGGGACACAGTAATACCAGGGCACAAAATATATCAGAAGGACAGAACAGGTCATGCTGGTGGGGGAATGGCATAATATGTGAAAGAAAGCATAGAATCAAATGAAGTAAAAAACTTATATGAACTGAACAGTACCATAGAATCTCTATGGATAGAAATTCCATGCTCTAATAATAAGAATATAGCAGTAGAGATCTATTACCGACCACCTGACCAGGATGGTGATAGTGAGTTTGATATGCTCAGATAGATTAGAGAGGCTATTAAAATAAAAAACTCAATAATAATGGGGGGATTTCAACTATCCCCATATTGACTGGGTACATATCACCTCAGGACAGGTTGCAGAGATAAAGTTTCTTGACACCTTAAAGACTACTTCATGGAGCAGCTAGTCCTGGAACCCAGAAGAGGAGAGGCAATTCTTGATTTAGTCCTAAGTGGAGCTCAGGATCTGGTCCTAGAGGTGAATATAGCTGGTCCGCTTGGTAACAGTGACCATAATATAATTAAATTTAAACCTCCCTGTAGTGGGGGAAACACCACAGCAGCCCAACACTGTAGCATTTAATTTCAGAAAGTGGGACTACACAAAAATGAGGAAGTTAGTTAAACAGAAATTAAAAGGAACAGTGCCAAAAGTGAAATCCCTGCAAGCTGCATGGAAACTTTTTAAAGACACCATAATAGATGCTCAACTTAAATGTATACCCCCAAATGAAAAAACATAGTAAAAGAAATAAAAAAGTGCCACCGTGGTTAAACAACAAAGTAAATGAAGCAGTGAGAGGTAAAAAGGCATCCTTTAAAAAGTGGAAGTTAAATCCTAGTGAGGAAAATAGAAAGGAGCATAAACTCTAGCAAATGAAATGTAAAAATATAATTAGGAAGGCCAAAAGAGAATTTGAAGAACAGCTAGCCAAAGACTCAAAAAGTATTAGCAAAATATTTTTTAAGTACATCAGAAGCAGGAAGCCTGCTAAACAACCAGTGGGGCCACTGGACGATTGAGATGCTAAAGGAGCACTCAAGGATGATAAGGCCATTGCAGAGAAACTAAATTAATTCTTTGCATTGGTCTTCACGGCTGAGCATGTGATGGAGACTCCCAAACCTGAGCCATTCTTCTTTTTAGGTGACAAATCTGAGGAACTGTCCCAGTTTGAGTTATCATAAGAGGAGGTTTTGGAACAAATTGATAAACTAAACAGTAATAAGTCACCAGGACCAGATGGTATTCACCAAGAGTTCTGAAGGAATTCAAATGTGAAATTGCAAAACTACTAACTGTAGTCTGTAATCTATATTTAAATCAGCTTCTGTACCAAATGACTGGAGGATAGCTAATGTGATGCCAATTTTTAAAAAGGGCTCCAGAGTTGATCCCAGCAATTACAGGCCAATAAGCCTGACTTCAGTACTGAGCAAACCAGTTGAAAGTACAGTAAAGAACAAAATTGTCAGACACATAGATTAACATAATTTGTTGGGGAAGAGTCAACATGGTTTTTGTAAAGAGAAATCATGCCTCACTAATCTACTAGAATTCTTTGAGGCGATCAACAAGCATGTGGAAAAAGGGGATCCAGTGGATATAGTTTACTTAGATCTTCAGAAAGCCTTTGACAAGGTCCCTCACCAAAGGCTCTTAAGCAAAGTAAGCTGTCATGGGATAAGAGGGAAGGTCTTCTCATGGATTGGTAACTGGGTAAAAGATAGGGAACAAAGGGCAAGAATAAATGGTCAATTTTCAGAATGGAGAGAAGTAAATAGTGGTGTCCCCTAGGGGTCTGTACTGGGCCTAGTCCTATTTGATATGTTCATAAATGATCTGGAAAAAGGGGTAAACAGTGAGGTTGCAAAATTTGCACATACAAAATTGCTCAAGATAGTTAAGTCCCAGGCAGACTGTGAAGAGCTACAAAACGATCTCTCAAAACTGGGTGATTGGGCAACAAAATGGCAGAAGAAATTCAATGTTGATAAATGCAAAGTCATACATATTGGAAAACATAATCTCAACTATACATTCAAAATGATAGGGTCTAAATTGGTTGTTACCACTCAAGAAGGAGAGTTTGAAGTAATTGTGGATAGTTCTCTGAAAACATCCACTCAATGTGCAGCGGCAGTCAAAAAAGTGAACAGAATGTTGGGAATCATTAAGAAAGGGATAGATAATAAGACAGAAAATATCACATTGCCTCTATATAAATCCATGGTAGGCCCACATCTTGAATATTGCGTGCAGATGTGGTTGCCCCATCTCAAAAAAAATATAGTGGAATTGGAAAAGGTTCAGAAAAGGGCAACAAAAATTATTAGGGGTATGGGACGGCTGCCATATGAGGAGAGATTAATAATAGTGGGATTTTTCAGCTTGGAAAAGAGACAACTTGGGGGGATATGATAAAGGTCTATAAAATCGTGACTGGTGTGGAGAAAGTAAATAAGGAAGTGTTATTTACTCCTTCTCATAACAGAAGAACTAGGGGTCACCAATGAAATTAATAGGCAGCAGGTTTAAAACAAACAAAAGGAAGTATTTTTTCATACAATGCACAGTCAACCTGTGGAACTCCTCGCCAGAGGATGTTGTGAAGGCCAAGTCTATAACAGGGTTCAAAAAAGAAGTAGATAAGTTCATGGAGGATAGGTCCATCAATGGCTATTAGCCAGGATGGACAGGGATGATGTCCCTAGCCTCTGTTTGCCAGAAGCTGGGAATGGGCGAAAGGGGGTTGATCACTTGGTGATTACCTGTTCTGTTCATTCCCTCTTGGGCACCTGGCATTGGCCACTGTCAAAAGACAGGATACTGGGCTAGATGGTCCTTTGGTCTGACCCAGTATGGCCATTCTTATGTTCTTGTAACTACCTGGAATTTTAAAGCTTGATTTTATACATTGACTCTTTTAGGCTACGTTCAAGCCTCAATTCTACTTACATCTTGGGCGGTGAGCCTATTAGCTCTCACAAAGCCCAGCACTGCCTATCTTATCTATAGTTGAATTGGAGACCTCCAAGGAACACCAGGTTCTGCAGGAAGTGGCATAGGTGATTCAGTAGATGGCACACCTCTCTCAGAAGCAGCACTGAACCAAAATTTTGGCATGGGAAATTGTGTTTCTGAAGTTGGTGACCCAGATTCTTCCCTGCATTAGGGCCACTTTGTGCCATGCTGCCATTGGCCCAAAAGCCAGTGTAGATGATTACAGGAGGATCACGCCAGCATGGGTGATCCACTGTGTTGTAGAGCTGGTGTAATGGCTCCTGCAGCATTCCCCTCCCACAGTAGAAGGTGGGACCATAAAACAGGGGGCATGACTGGGGATTCCCTGTACCCTGGTAATCCCCAGTTGCATTCAGGTTCTAACTTATTCCAGCACACAGCTGAACAATGATTAGGGAACTGCAAAAGTGCCTTAAGGTCACCCCTTCACACACACACAAGTTGTGCTGTGCATTCTTTGGCCACAGTTGAGAATCTGGGCCTCTGTCATCTGCCTAAGATGTAAACTAAGGAACTTGACCACTTGCAGTGATTAAAAACAGATAGCAGTATTTGTAAGAGTAGAAATGTTAACCCCTGAGTGACCCAGCCAAATTACTTACCTCCTTCCTAAAATCAACCTGTAGTTTCATTTGAATTCGGGTATTCTTCTTCACACCATGTCCTAAAGTATTGTGTAGAACAGCTGCTCACTGCTGTTGCATCTCCCCTGCAGGTTACTGTATTCTTGTGGTAGATGAAATGATGCCTTTATACATGTGTATCAGTTTATAAAGTGTTTTGGGATCCTTTAGGTTGAATCCTGATACACAACTACATGGCAAATAGTTACCAATATTACCCAGCAGCGCTTTGAACAGTTCTGTACCCAGGACACTGCTGCTTTTAACCTTCACATTTTAGTGAAAAGCGTTTGATTCTCTAGATTTTTTTCTCTAACGAGAAATGAAAATCAACCTTGACACAGCCATACATGAAGCAGCATTAAAAGCCACTGACAGTCTCTGCTGAAAAAAAATTATCTTTCTGTTCCTTTGATGGCACTAGCTCAACTGTGACTTTCAGAAACTATCCCCCCTCCCCCGACTTTACAGCTTTTAACTTTTAATTTTTTAAAAAAAAACCCTGAGCTGTAAAGACCTCTCACAATTTGACTTTTATTAATTAAAAAAAACCCAATCAAATGTTGAAAAGAAGCACTGTGGTGGGTGAAGTGCTTTTGAAAAACCATACAAGCACTGATGTCAGGTAGAAATCTGCTGAAGTCTGGAGTCAGAGCAGGAAGTCTGAAAAGAAGAAGGGGGAACCAAAATGAGCATTTAGGTGACATGACTAAAATAAACAAGGAAAAAAACCATTCAAAATAATATTACATTCTATTATTTTTATGATAGTGCCTAGGAACTGCCCAAAGACAGGGCCCCATCATGCTAGGCACTGTCCCAATACCCAGTTGTAGACAGCCCTTGCCCTGAAGAACTTACAATCTAAATAGACAAGTCAGACAAAGAGGTGGAGAAAGGGGACATAGCATTATAAAACACGAAAACAGGGATGTTTTTACTATAAATTAATATTTTTTAAATTACACAACCCCAGATCCTGGGGTTTCCTAAACTCAATGCAATATAAAGCATCAGACATATTCAGTTCAGTTTTGATTTAAAAACTCAGATTAGTCTTTGAATGTGAAAAGGTAATTGATTTCATAACTGTGGGATATAAACATTAACAGAGGAATTCAACCCTGTGTCAGCACTTGCAAAGGACTGGAGGGCTTTCACCTCTCCTATTCAGAGGGCTGCCAAATGATCAATTAGGCCCTCAATGCAGGCTACAGCTGCTCTAACTTTTGCTCCTACTGCAATGGCACCTATAGGCCATTGCAGCAGTGGAGAATAACTAGGGCATAAGAATACCCTGAAAAGCTCCTTGTGCCATGGCTTCCTGTTTGGGAAAAGGTATGCAGAGCTGGTTCTGTGGCTCCCACAGAAGGTTCCTGACACTGTGGGTATTCCCCATGGATTCATGCATCTGCTTTGCAGCCCACTTGTATGAGAATAGCTGGCACAAAGGGATGAGAGAACCTAACTCCACCTTGGCTTTCATGGATGCACTTCATAATGGGAGTGATGCTGTAATGGGAGTTATACCTGCGTAAGGGCAAAATTGGTCCCTATGAGCCAAGTCTTCACACCTAGCCTCCAATTTCATGCCTGAAACTAACTACAGGAACAAACAGTAGGGTTTATACACCAAACTAACTAGATTGGGTAATCCAGGTAATTAGATTTCTGTATTCTACCACTTGCATCTACAACTGTGATTGCAAAATTACTTTGGTTGAAGCGTCTCCGAAAACTTGCCCAAAAAAGCTCAATCCTCTGTTCTAAAGTAATTTAGGACAAACTGGCCAACATCCTAAATCCACAGGTTCTGACCCTTAAAAAAGTATATGGAAATTTAAGAGAAAAGTAAGTAGGAAAGGTATGCAGAGTTGAGCCAGATTTTTTCATTAAATATATACTTGCAGCTCCCAATTATGTCATGCTTAACTGAAGTGAGAATCTGGTCCTTAAATGTGGTTGTAATTAAAATGAATGCTTTTTAAATATGTGAAAGTCAGATACAGTAAAATACCTATCCTAATCCTTTCTTTTTTTCCCTCTCCAAAGTGTTTAACTCTGAAAATTGCCTCATATTTTGTCTCCCCTGATTTTCTTCTTTCTTTCTTCATTCAGGCAGAAAATCTCCTCTGACACTGCTGTCATTCTTGCCAGATCTGCTTGTGGTTCCCTTTAAATGAATTTGCCAGGGCAGAGAGCAGGGAACAGGCAGCAATGCTTGCTACTGAAGATCATCATCTTCTACACGATTTTCATTAGGCGCTTAATTTTTGCCCTGGCATCCCAAGGAGCTGTAGGGATGCAGAGCAATAGACTCTGACTTGAGAAGATTTGCAGCTGGTCAAGGAGATCTGGAAAAAAGCTGCCTTTTGCAGCCATAGATACTTGCAGCAGAGTGAAGAGGGGTATGCACTCCTGAGGATACTAATATTGTGCATTATTGTGTAACGGGGGTGTATATTTCTTCCTGACCGCAGCTGATGATTAACTTTTTGCCCTGAAACATGGTGATTCCTAATCCTTATTAGTTTTACTTTAACTTGTGATGGTTTTGTGTTTTTTGTTTTTGTTTTGTAATGTGGACACCAATCCATTACGAAGTGAACTAAGTCCATTCACGTTGGCCACCAAACTGTAGCTTTTCTAACGTGCTGAGATCTACAATGATTTGACTTCCCCACGTTTATTTGAGTTTTTTTAATTAAAAGTCTTTGCCTTTGTGCTCTGATTCTACTGAATACGAAAAAAGGCTCTGGGGGCTTGATTCTTATTTACATGAAGGGCCCTATACAACATTCTGGCAGTATAAAAGAGACCTTAGAGCAAATGAGAATCGGGGTCTTTGTATTTATGAATTTTTTTAGCGAGCCTTTATTTGTCTGAACTGAGAAATTGTTGCTGAAACAAAGGAGTTGCTGCACTCATTGGAAGTGATTATATTCAGATTTTAGTACCACAGAGATCTCCACCTCACTGAGGCCCAAATAGATTTCAAAATATGCAACAAGAGCCCAAATAAGGAACACAACAAAAAATAGAGACCAAAGCTTCTATGATGACCTGGATAGCCCTTGACAGTTCTGCCCCTCTGGAACAATGGAACTATCAACCTGCAGGGTGAAGTTTGTATGGGCTGGCGACAGGGATTTCTCAGGGCCTACCCCACGACTGTGGAATTCACTACTGCTGGACCAGAGAGCCTGATTCACCATTGCCCTGCACTTTTTGTAACTATTTACACCAGTGCAAATTTGGCTTAAAACACTATCATTCTGCTCTGGTACCATTCTCACTTTGTACTCACTGCAGTCCTGTAAATGACCCCATATGGTGCTGGGTAATGGTGAATTAGACCCTAAAAGTAAACACAAACCTCATTTCTTTCTGGTCCAAATGTAAACCCCCCTTCTTTTATCTATCTAAGGGTATGTCTACACTACGAAATTAGTTCG